AAGAGCTCACAGTCTAATAAGGGAGACAACATGCAAACAACTGTCTACAAACGAGATAGATACAGAGTAAATTGCAGATTATCAACAGAGGACACACCACTCTATTTCTTAGCCAGTACCAGATTGTTTTGGATGATTATTGCTTTGTAATATAGTTTGAGATCTAGTACAGCTAAGTCACCTTCCTTCACATTTGTTTCACTGATTTTCTTGTTTTCCTTGACCTTTTGTTCTTTTAGATGAATTTTATTATTTTTTTCTAGCTCTATAAAACAATTTTTGGTAGTTTGGTATGGCACTGAATAAGTAAATTAATTTAGGTAGAATTATCATTTTTATTATATTGGCCCAGTCTATTCATAAGCAATTAATATTTTTCTAGTTCTTTAGTTCTGACTTTAATGGTATGAAGTGTTTTGTAATTGTGTTCATATAGTTCCCGGGTTTGTCTTGGCAGGTAGACTCCCAAGTATTTTGTGTTGTCTACAATTATTTTAAATGGAATTTCTCATTGGCCTTTTCATCAGGAATGCTTGGAAGTCTTCTATTTCATTAAATATTCATTTTTTTTTCCTCTGAAGAATTATACTCAGTTTTTTTTGGGTAGGTGATTCTTGCTTGTAATTCTAGCTCCTTTGCCCTCCAGAATATCATATTCCAAACCCTCTGATCCATTAATGTAGAAGCTGCTAAATCTTGTGGTATCCTGACTATGTCTCCATGATATTTGAATTGCTTCTTTCTGGCTGCTTGCAATATTTTCTCCTTGACCTGGGAGCTCTAGAAGTTAGCTATAACACTCCTGGGAGTTTTCATTTTGGGATCTCTTCTAGGAGAGATGATCAGTAAATTCTTTAAATTTTTATTTTACCCTCTGGTTCTAGGATATGGCAATTTTCCTTAATAATTTCTTGAAATATGATGTCTAGGCTCTTTTTTTTTTGGTCATGGCAAAGGGTCCCTTGTAATCTTCTTCTGATCAATTGTCTGATCCCTTTACCTTCTGTAGGCTGAGAGTTCCAGAGCTGCTGCTTCTTACTCAGTTGCCCCCAAGGCATGCTGCTGGGTTGCCAGGGCACAGCCTGCATTGAACCATGCTCCACTCTCACCCCAGTGGGACAGACCTTTTCTGTTGACCTTCTAAGTTATCTTGGCTTGGAAAATTGTTTCACCTCATCCTTTTGTTGGTTCTACTGCTCCAGAATTCATTTTAAGGTATTATTTTAAAGTTTTTTGGATGGGGATTTTGGAGACCTCAGGTGAACCCCTGCCCCTATGCTGCCATCTTCAAGATGATGATTTTAGTTTTGGACATATTGAACTTAAGATATCTATATGTCAAATAGGAGAAAAGATGGTGACTTTAATTTTGTGCATGTTGAGTTTAAGATGTCTATGGGACACCTAGTTCAAGATGGCAAGATGTCCATCCTAACATTAGGTTAGGAGTGAGGTCAGGGCTGGAAAAGAGCTGTGAGAATCATTAGCATAGAGATGATAATTAAATACATGAGAGCTGAAAAGATCACCAAGGAAAATAGCATAGAAGGAGAAGAGAATAGGGCACAAGACAGAATTCTGGGGACCGCCACCATTAACAGGGGTTACCTGGACAAAGATACAGCAAAGGATACTCAGAAAGATTGGTCAGCCAGGTAAGAGAAGAGGCAGGATAGAAGTTTCACAGAAACTTAGAGAGAAGAAAGTATCAAGGGGAAGATGGTGGTCAATAGTATTACAGGCTGCAGAGAGGTCATGAAAGATGAAGATTGAGAAATGCCATTAGACTTGGCAGTTAAGAGACCTTTGGTAACTTTGCTGAGAGCAGTTTCAGTTGAATGATAAGGTATGAAGCCAGGCTATAGAGAGTGAAGAAGTGAGTGATAGGAAAGGAAGTAGAGGCATTGATTAAAGATGACCTTCTCAAGGAGTTTAGCCTCTAAAGGGAGGAGAAATATGGGATTATAGCTATCAAGGATGGATGGATCAAGTGCAATTTTTGAGGATAGGGAAGAGTTGGATATATTTGTTTGCAATAGGGAAGAATCCAGTAGACAAAGAAAGACTGGGGGCAGCTAGGTGGTGCAGTGGATAGAGCATTGGCCCTGGAGTCAGGAGGACCTGAGTTCAAATCCGGCCTCAGGCACTTGACACTTATTAGCTGTGTGACCCTGGGCACACATTGCCTAGCAAAAAACCATATAAACAAAGAAAAAAGAAAGACTGAAGATGAAAATGAGAGAGAGTGAGAATGATAGAGGGGTAATGCGCTGGAGAAGATGGGATAGAATAGGCTCACTGTGCATATTGAGAGGTTTGCCTTGGCATGGAGGATCATCTCTTCATTTGAGACAGGGGTAAAGGAGGAGATAATGGCAAAAGATATGCGAATGACATGAGATGAGGAGGAAAAGAGAAGAGGACATTCTTGATGAAGGGCTTTAATTTTTTTTTTTTTGAAATATGAGGCAAGGTTCTCAGCCAAGAGAGTGGGAGAATTAGGAACTATGGGAAGTATAAGGAAGGATGAACAGTTTTAGAAAAGCTATTGTATATGGTGAGTGGGATAGTGAGTTAATTAAGGGAGGAGTATAAAAGAATTGCCTTGCTACAGTGTTGCCTAACAGAGATTATGTAATATGAATTTGTAGTGAGTGGTTTTGTGATTTTTCTCCAGCTTTATTCAGCAGCCTCTGAGTAGGAGTAAAGGTAGTAGGAATAAAGGGACAAGTGACTCAAAAGAAGAGGACAGTGTGGAGTGGAATTGGTTCACGAAGTGATCAAGATAGGGATGGGAGAAAAATTCAGCTGAGGCAGGGATGATGGCCTGGGAAAGAACTGAGGGGACAAGGTGCTGGAGATCACCCTGAGGACAGAGGACAGGGAAACTATGACATGAACTGGGAAGCTGGAGGATGCCTGAGAGATATTCTATGATGGGCAGAGCGGCTTTGGGATAATTAGACTACTGTGGGACTTCTCATGGAGGCTACGAATTAGCTCAGGGAAACTCAAATAGACATGCAGATTGTGGGGTGCTAGAATTATGGGATGGCGGAAGGTTGAAGAGTCGAGGGAAGCTGAGGAATAGCTCTAGGAGGCTTTGGGTTTCATTGGGAGAGTATGCCATAGCTCACGAAGATGTGGAGTGGATCGGGGATGGCGTGGGAGGGACAGAGAGGCTGTGGGATGGTCGATTCGATTCAACAAGCATTAGTAAGTGCCTAGCATGTGCCAGACACTGTAGAGGTGCTGAGGATGCCAAACTGTTATTTCCTTCAAGGGTCTTACACTCTAATGGAGGAAAACAAGCATGTACTCTGGTAGGTAAATGCAAAATATCAACAAAACAAATGTAAAGCAATTGTGGGGAGAGGGGTTAAAGAAGGAGCATTAACGTGATTGGGAGAATTAGAAAAGACCTCTTGTTTTAGCTAACATTTTAACTGAGCCTTGAAAGGGAGGTAGAATTTCTATGAGATATAGGTAAGGAGGGAAAAAAAAGCATGGGGGGAATGAGCATGGGAGATTTCTGGAATGAATTATGGATACGGACATGATGTAGATATGGATATGATTGAGAAATGGACACGATGATTTTGATATGGCTCAGAAGGATGTGAGATGGATTGTGGGGCACTGTGGAATGATTCAGTAAAATTATTGATTAGAAAAGGAGGCTCTGAGATAGCCAAGGAGACACTGGGGTAACAAGAGTCTGTAGGATGGTCAGGAAGGCTGTGGGATGGCTTTGGAAACAGGGTGAGAATGGTCTTTTGATCCTGAAACACACTAAAACCTGGACTGAAACCCTACCCAAGGGAAAATTGGATAGACATCTCCCTGTGCCTCAGTTTCCCCATTCCTCATCTAAAATAAGATAATCTCTAAGGTCATTTTCAGTCACTGACATTCTATGGGTCTATGACTCTAGATGGGAGATAGAGACAAGGATGGAGAGAGAGAGGGAGGGAGGGAGGGAGGGAGGGAGAGAGAGAGAGAGAGAGAGAGAGAAGAGGCAGGAGGGATGGAGAGAGATAAGGGTAAAGAGAGATCCTTTCCAGCTCTGACATTCTGTTTTACAATTCTGAAGTTCAAGGAAAGATGATTTTCTGATATGGGCTGTGTTTTGATCCCATTTAAGGAATGAGATGTGGAGATTTGGTGGGGGAAGAGGGCATAGGGGAGGGGAAGATGAAGAAGATATATCTAGGATTACTGGGTCCTTTCTTTTCAATTCTGGGATCTCAAAGGGATAGATGGAATGCAATAGAGAACCAAGAACTTGAACTGGACCTGGACATCTCCAAACAGCTTCCTGTCCATGATAGTGGGTACCTTTGTGGCTACTGATCACTGAGCACTTCAGCCTCTCATGGGCACATCACTAAGCCATATGGCCCCCTTTGTTTAAGAAGAGGAACTAGGATTTGTTTTACACCAATAAAGAATCCTAATCAGGGGTCTAGGCTCTTTTTAGGGACTCCACCCATGTTCTTGCCCCTGGAGGGTGAGAGTCCTTTTGGGAGAACAGGTTCCTTGGTTATGATATCCAGTGGTGGGGAGGGAGTATGGGTGCCTGGGGAAGCGTACCTGGGTGGAGAAGACCTTGGTAGGTAGTAAGTGACTCCTGAGTTGGGGAGACCATGTACACCAGGGTTCCTGGTTTGAGCCCTGGAAAATTTTATTTCCCTCCCCTTACAAAAAGTCCCAGGCCAATTCACATGTGAAAAGGGAGCACAGAAGGAGGAGAAAGGGGAGGGGAAAGGTTTTGGAGGCTTTGACTTCTGGATTTCCTCCTGTTGTCCTCAGCCTGTCTAGAGAGTCACCCACACACTCTTAGCTCTCCCTTCTCCTCCTCCTCCCTTCCTCCCTTCCTCCCTCTGTTCTCTGCTTTCTTTCTCTCTGCATTCTCTCTCTCTCTCTCTCTCTCTCTCTCTCTGCATTCTCTCTCTCTCTCTCTCTCTCTCTCTCTCTCTCTCTCTCTCTCTTTCTCTCTTACTCTCTCTCTCTCCTTCTCTCCCTTTTCTTTCCTCTGTGTGTTTGTTTGTCTGTGTGTGTGTGACTCCCTCTCCATCTGCCTACGAGGCTTATATTTCTCTCCAGTCCATTTATCCCCCAGCTCTCCTGTCCCCATAAGGAGAGCAGAACCATGGCCTCTGCGGATGGCAGGAAGAAGCTAAGGATCTACTTTCGATGTTCCCTGGTTGGCTTTGTCACTGGGTTGTTTGCTGGTTTCCTGGTGTCCTCTCTGGTTTGCTACTTTCTCTCCCGACCTGTCAGCAAGGTCCACCATGAGGTAAGTGAGTACCACATAAGCCTTCCCGATTTCCTGATCTTAGGTGGGGTGGGGGTATAGAGAATAGGGGAGGAAGAGACCCCTTAGGGAAGAGATGCAGGAAAGGACCAAGGTAGAGGTACAGACAAGAAGGAGAGGAGACCCTGGGGACACACAGAGGAGATACAGAGGGAGAGCCAGAGAGAGAAAGGGAGACAAGAGAGATGATAGAGATGGAGGAGAGATATGGGGAGACAGGGAAAGTGAGAGGTAGAGGCATGGGATAGGAGGGGACAAGGAGAGAGACGTGGAGGCAGGGAGAGAATGACAGACAGAAGGTGAGAAGCAGTCTGGATTTAGGTTCTGGTGTGTGTGTTTGTGTGTGTGTGTGTATGCATATGAGCACTCGTGTATGATGGGAAGGGAGAATTATTTGTGGGCCACTCAGGCTGTGTGCCCTGGCTCATTTGACTCCAAAGTCAGCGAGGTGGATCCCAAGGTAGAGTGGTTGGAGGTAGGCAGGCAAGGGCTCAAGAGTGAGAATGATTTCAGTGGGTCTTCCCCAGGTAATGACTCAGATGACAGCAGGGTTGCTTCACAACATAAGTGGAGGGGGTTACCAGAAATTCTTTGATCTGGAAGGAACTTTGGGACAGTCAGTTCATCAGACCCCTTGTGTCTGGGCCAGGGCCTCCTACTTTGTTCCCAGATCTCCCCTCACGGTCTATCCTCTTCCCATTCCAGGAAGCTAAGAAGTTCTTCCAAAAGCCTTTCATGAATCCTTACTGCAAGAAAGAACATTTACAAAAATTCAGATCTCAAGGGAAAGAGGAAATGTCACGCAGAGGCTGGAGTCAGGGGAGAATAGGGACAGTAGGGACTCTGTGTGTGTGTGTGTGTGTGTGTGTGTGTGTGTGTGTGTGTGTGTGTATGTGTATGAAAGAGAGAAAGAGAGAGGGAGAAGGAGAGAGAGAGAGAGAGAGAGAGAGAGAGAGAGAGAGAGAGAGAATGAAAGAGAGAGAAAGAGAAAATAGACAGGTATAGCAAAACCTGGGTTGAGACTGGGGGCTTCAGGGAAAATGTTTTCTGGGCTTCTTTGACTGTGAAGTGCCTGAAGAACATCAGAATTGGTTCCATCCCATTCTGTGCTGTCCTTCCCCCTCAGCCAGAGAACAACACATTCAGGGAAAAACAGGGAGGAAGTAAGGAAGCAATTCACACAGCCCATCTCCTGCTCAACCACACAGGTAACAATGAGTCGTGGGTCTCCCTGTCTATATATGTCTTTCTGTCCTGAGTATTTGTCTCTTTGTGTACATCTATATGTTTGTCTATGTGTAGACATGTATGTGTGTGTGTATGATTCTGTCTCCTTGTTTTCTCCCCCTTTTTGTATTGTGATGAGTAAAAAACCCCAAGAGGCAGACTTTCTGGGTAATGATCAATTTATTATTTAAGCTAGCTGGCAATCAATAAATTGATGATCAGTGGTTTCTCTCAGTAACCAAAGATGCACAAAGGAAATCTGGAAAACTTTAAGTAACCCTTCTGAAAGGGAGTTTCCTTGACATGTGAAAATCAATCCTGATTGGTGGACATTTAATGAGGTTGTTCAAAAGTCTTCAGCTCCTCTGCTGAAAATGTGACTTGATCATGAGACTCAGCCACCTCTAGCAATCTGAACAGGGGAATTCATCTCCATCCAGACCACTTTGATTGGTTTTGTCCTTCATAAGCTACATCACCCTATCCAATGGAGGAGTACAAGGATAACAGCTCCTTTCCCCAGAGGGCTTGCCAAGATTGGATTCTGTTTATACTCTAAATAGAATTAGGTCTCCTAGTTGGGTGGCATCCCACCCAAGATTAAGGAGCATATGCTTTGAGTGCTAAAAGTAATCTCATCAATTAGTCATGTCTTTAGAGACTGACTTTAACAAGAGTTGGGCTTTAGTGAGGAAACAGTGAAGAGAATAGCTTGGATCCCAATTTAATAATTGGTTATTAACATAATATCTCTGCATAGCAGGGGCCAGGCAGCTGTGGTAAATGAGTGAATGGGGCTCTCTATGGGTCTGAGCCCCTATTCTTCCTTCTGTCTCCTAGGTTCCCGTCAGGACAATACCCTGCAGTGGCAAGGTGGTCCATCCCTGGGCCGCTCCTTCATCTATGGCTTCACTTTGGCCCAGGGTTCCTTGCAGACCCAGCGCAGTGGCATTTATGGTGTCTATGTCCAGATGACTCTGGCCCAATGCATCCAGGCCAGAGGCCAGGGCACTGAGCTCACAGAGGTCAAGACCTTGACCATTGGCATCCTTTCTGCCCAGGGCCGCCATTCCAGCCTCCTCCGAAGACACTTCCAGGGCAGGTGCTCACTGAGCGCCAGCCTCCAGATGAACCTTAGCTACCAGGACACTGTGTATGTCAACCTCACATATCCCCTAATGCCTTCACCCAATGGTGATGAGACTTTCTTTGGAGCCTCTTGGTTATGTCCACCTCCTCCTGCAGAAGACTGATGGTACTGGACTTTCAGGGCACTGTAACCCAGGCTAGGTGAATTCCCTAAAAACTGATGCTGAGTAAGAGTCTCAGTCTAAATTCCTAGCCTTTTTTCCGCTTATTCCCTGAGTGCATACTAAGCCAAAGCCAACTTGAGCTTTATGCTCTTTCCCAAACTTGGTAATAGATCACCAGCCTCTGTGTATTTATGCAAGCTCTTCCCCCTGCCTGGAATAGACTTTCTTCTTAGCTCCAACTTTCAGAATTCTTCTTTTTCTTCAAGGTTCAGCTCAAAGCATCATCTCCTTTGCAAAGCCTTCCCTGATTTTCTCAGGAAGTAGTGTCCATCCTTGAATCTTTAGATCTCTAGTACTTGAATTTTGTGCATAGTAGGAATTTAATAAATATTGAAATGAATAGACAGATTGGGATAAGGCATCTCCTACAGAGGTTTAGCCACGACCATTTAGTTTTTGGGGCTGTGGATTCACTTTGCATCTCTATAATTGGTGAAGGCATTGAATTCTAGTGATCTGCCTAAAGTACTAGAATGCAAGCCTCCTGGCTCTTAGCCTGGGGAGGGCTGGGACAGAAGAAATGGAGTCAGGGGGACTGGGGAGTGTGGGAATGGGAGGATGGAGGATTTGACTGGGTAATGGATGTAGGGGTAGGAGTATGGAGCAAAGCTGACAATCTCAGGGCTAAAGAATTAGTCCTCCCAAACTCTTGTCTCCTGCCCCTAGAGCAAGGGTCCTTCTTAAAAATATATTTATTTAGTATTTTATTTTTCTCCAATTACATGTAAATGCAATTTTAATATTCATTTTAAAAATCTTGAGTTCCAAATTTTTCCCTTCCCACCCCCTCATTGAAAAGGCAAGCAATTTTATGTAAGCTGTATATGTGTAGACATGAAAATATAGTTCTCTATTAGTCATATTGTAAAAGAAAACACAGACCAAAAAAACCCTCAAGAAAAATGAAGTAAAATAACAGTATGCTTCCATCTATATTCAGACACTATCACTTCTTTCTTTGGGAATGGATAACATTTTTCATCATAAATCCTTCAGAGTTGTCTTGGATCGTTGTATTGCTGAGAATAGTTAAGTCATTCACAGCTGATTATCTTACAATATATTTTTAATTAATTAATTAATTTTTAGTTGTCAACATTTACTTCCCTAAGATTTTGAGTTCCAAATTTTCTCTCCATCTCTCCCCTCCCCCTTCCCCAAGATGGCATGCAACCTGATATAGGCTGTACATATACATTCCTATATTTTCACGTTAGTCATGTTGTAAAGAAGAATTAGAACCAATAGGAGGAACCACAAGAAAGAAGAAACAAAACAGAAAAAAAAGAGCAAATAATATGCTCTGATCTGCATTCAAACTCCATAGTTCTTTCTCTGGATGTGGATAGCATTTTCCATCATGAGACCTTTGGAAATGTCTTAGATCCTTGCATTGTTGAGAAGAGATAACCAAGTTAGTCATTGCACAATGTTGCTATTACTGTGTAATGTCCTCCTGGTTCTGCTCATTTCACTCAGCATCAGTCCATACGAGTCTTTTCAGGTTTTTCTGAAGTCCACTTGCTCATCAATTCTTATAGCACAATAGTATTCCATTACATTCCTATGCCACAACTTGTTCAGCCATTCTCCAATTGATGTAAATTCTCTCAATTTACAATTCTTTGCCACCACAGAAAGAGCTGCTATAAATATTTTTGAACATGTGGATCCCTTAGAAGTGCTATTACTGGGTCAAAGGCTACGTACATTTTTATAGCCCTTTGGTCATAGCTCCAAATTGCTTTCCAAAATGGTTGGAGCAGTTCACAACTCCACCAACAATGCACTAATGTTCCAATTTTCCCAAATCTTCTCCAACATTTATCATTTTCCTGTTTTGTCATATTAGCTAATCTGATAGGTGTATCATCTTACAATATTGCTATTAGTGTGTACAATGTTTTCCTGGTTCTACTCATTTCACTTTACATCAGTTGAAATAAGTCTTTCCAGGTTTTTCTGAGAGCATCCTGCTCATCATTTTTTTACATCACAGTAGTATTCCATCATAATTATGTAACACAACTTGTTCATCCATTTCCTCAATTGATGGGCGTCCGCTCAATTTCCAATTCTTTGCCACTAGAAAAGAGTTGTTATAAATATTTTTGTACATATAGGTCCTTTTCCTTTTTTAAAAATCTCTCTTGGGATACAGACCTAGTAGTGGTATTGCTAGGTCAAAGGGTATGCATGGTTTCAGCCCTTTGGACATAGTTCCAAATTATACAGCAGGGATTCTTAACATTTTTTAGTGTTATGGACCCATTTGTCAGTCTAGTAAAGATTAGAGACCCCTCCTCAGAATGATATTTTTAAAGGTACACAATTAAATACATAAGATTACAAAGGAAACCGAACATTTGTGAAAATAAAGATGCAGATTTTTTTTTCTCCCATCTAAATTCTCTAACTCCCTGAAGTCTATCCATGGACCCCAGATTAAGAACCTCTGCCCTGGAGGGAACAAGAATGATATTCTGTTGCTCTGGGTGTTCTCTGGGTTTTCCCCTAGAGGTAAGGCTGAGGCTCACACAAGTCTGGGCTGGCCCCAGGGCAATCTCTCTTCCCCAGTTTAAGTCCTGGCCTGTGATATTTCATGACACTTTCTGAAACTGCCCTGCCCTGGCGATTCCCAATCATTCTGCTCTTCAACCTCTGGGTACATATCTGAGCACAGCAGGGAACCTGGCCCCTACACATTGAGCCCTGTACTGTGAGTCATATTTGCCTTTGTTTATAGCATCATTTCAAACCATCACTTTCAACAAGACAGCACCATTCTATGTCTGGTCCCTAGGGAGTGTGAATAGTTTCTGATCTACTGCCTATAACTTCACTGATGTATTCTGGGTGTTTGGCAGTGATGGACAGGAATCAGCTCTTGGCCATAGGCAGGATGTAGTAGAGGGACAGCAGTATCCAAGAGGCTACTCCTAAGTGCCAAGTTTCCAGAAGATCACTAAGGAAGAGACAAGGGAACTGACACCCAGAGATCATGCGATTTGCTCTACTCATCCTACAAGGCTTCTTATGTAATATAACTGCTCATTCTGGCTTCTGGATTCTCTTTCCCAGAAGCTTCCAAATGAACAATTCCAGAAAGATGTCATGTCACCAGTTGATGGCTTTGGGGATAGTATTTGTTGCTCTTATCTCCATAACAGTGCTATTCCATAGGGATCCTGTGAAATTAAGGTTGTGAAAACCATGAGGCAACACACCCACATTTAGGTATTGTAGCCAAAGCCTTCCACAGGGAAAATGTCTATCTCTGAACAGTTAAATAAACAAATAGAGAAAGAAGAGATCAATGAATTGAGCATACAATCAGAAAAACCCTCAAAAATCAACAAATTAATAATGCCTCCCAAAGCCACAAAAATAGAAATTCTGAAAAATCAGAGCTGCAATTGGAAACAAAAAACCCATTGAGCAAAAAAGCAAGCAACCTATTGAGATGGCAAATAAGGTTGATGTTTAAAAAAAATTAGTAAAATAGACAAATACACAGAGAATTTGATTACAAAAAAAAAACCAGAAAGAAAAACAAATTAATAACATTGGAAAGAGGAATTCACAACAAAAGAAGAAGAAACAGAGGGTTAGGACTGAGAAAAGGTCATTGGAATTAACCGTTGAGAGACTGTTGCTAACCTTGCAGAGAGAACTTTCAGTTGAGTAATGGGGTTTTTAAGTTGGATTACAAGGGTTTGAGAATTGAGTAGGTGGTAAGGAAGTGGAGGAAACAAATATAGATGATTTGAAGGAGTACAGTAATGAAAGAGAGGAGAGAGACAGGATGATAGCTTGAGGGGACTTCCTCTTGTGACGCTCAGTCCAGCAACTCAGAAGTGACAGTGATTGAGATGGATGGTAGGGTGGTCCAGGGCTAAAGACTGGTAACATGTCAATTGTGACAGGACAAGAGGGTTAAGGATGAAGGTCAATGTGTAGCTAATTGGTTAACTACTGAGTCAAGACAGTTAAGGGAGGAAATTGAGGATTCTTGAAACCTATGCAGTATTTGGGAATGAACTTTGCCAAAAGATCAGCAAATGTTTAAGGATGGGAGAATCTAAATGTGCGTGTGGACGTCTCATCTCAAATTAAATATAGAAGGTCTAGACACTTGGATTGAAACTATCAATCAAAAGCATAGACTAGGTGCAAATAAATCCTTAATCCAATTGGGGAGTGCTTTGATAATTGGGTGAAAGCAGATGACATCCCAGAGGAAAGATTTTGTGATTGGTTAAAGAGAGTTAGCCATACCCTGTGGGGCTATGGCTAAAACAGCAAGCAGCTTTGGATGTTTCTCCGTTCTAATAATAATGAGAAGAGTGATGGTTGAGAGAACTGCCCTTGGAAGCAAGGAGGATTGAGTGAGTGGGGATGAGGGGGAGGAGGAAAGTTGAGTCCTTCCTTCTTCACTTTCCCCATTGATCAGAGAATGAACTTGTGAATTTTGAACTGTATTTCTTATTGGCATTAATAGCACTGCCTATGGAACTGGATTGGCTAAGAACCACCTTGAGAACATACAATAAAGACAGGTGGCCTCAGAATTCCATAAACACACAGACCCTTTTATCTCCCCCCTCCAAAGCAGCAACTCAGGGGGACTTCCAGAGGACTTCATGAAGGAAGAAAAGAACTTCTAGTAACCAGGAGCTATGAAGGTCCCCTGTGACCACCAAGTGTCTTCTACCTCTGTGCCTCATGATAGCTGAGCCCAATCATCCCATGGATCTATGGGTAATCGTGAGAGATTGTATCCCGGATATTTGGTGAGGGGGATCATTTTATAATGCCTAGGCTTATTATATCATACTGTTAAATACTGATAAAATATTAATAAATAAATAAAATATTAAGTATAAACATATAAATAAAAGTATATACATATATAAATATGTAAATATATACAAATACATATAAATAAAATAACAATGTTAAATATATCAAATACCTTTCTTTAAAAAGGCTTTCATTTTTACTTTCACAAGATTTCTCATAAATTCCTTTCTCTTCAATTGCATAGCCACCACTGTGGTGTGGACACTCATTACCTCATGCCTAGATTGTTGAAATAGCTTTCTGATTGACTTTCCTGCCTCAAGTCTCTCCCTGCTATGTTACTTTCTCCATTCAGCAGGCAAAGTCATTTTTCTAAAATGCAGATGTGACCATCGGACACACACACACACCATATCATGTTTGCCTTCACTTGATAAACTCCAATAAACTTCCAGGATCAAATAAGAAATTTTTTGTCTTAAAGCCCTTTACAGGCTTGTTCCCTTTTCCTATCTTTCTACTCTCCTTACACTTTACTCCC